TTTAGGGTTTAGGGCGCCACATGTATCATGAGAGTCTGCGCAAGACATAGCCAGATGTCGTCTTTTTTATGTGCAGACGGCCAGCAGTCATCAGTCTTGCAGCCCATCTACCCTGAAGCCCTGAACAACATAAATGAGTTTTTGGGCTAAGCCTAAAACCCCGAACCCTCAACGTTCAACACTTTCAGAGCCCTGAACATATAGAACTGTAAAGGGATGCAGCTGAACACATCGTTGCCGAGGTCAGCTGCGACAGCGAGGAGTGCGTGGCAAGAGCCGAGGAAGCGACTTTTGCAGTTTGGTGCTTAAGGTTTAATGCTTCAGGGCTCTTGCAATTTTAGGTGTTTGTTTCGAGGTAGGTTTAAGAAGTGTAGGGCTTTAGGATTTCGGGCTTCGGGCTTTGGGTTTGGGAGCCTGCGTAACCTACTTGTTCATGGATGTTTGAAGGGAGCGCATAGTAAGGAGCCGTAAAAGGTAGGAATTATGGGGTCCAAGCAAACCCTAAACCCTGAACAACCCAAGTGGAGCAGGATGTGGCCTTCCTTCCCACATTCTTCGTAGCTCAGGGTCTAGAGGAAGCTTTGGCCAGTCTACAGTACAGGCTTCTCGACCTCCTGGTGTGCTCGGAGGTTTTTGATCAGCTCCAATTCGAAGATCGCGCAGCTGCAAGGGCACGCACCTGGAACCGCACCGAAAGAGCGGGCGGGACGATGGGGCGATTTCTCGACGATTTGTAGTTGCATGCTGCGCTGCTAGGCAGCAGCAATTCAGCACTCGCAGCAGCATTGCGTCAGCCAAATGAAACCGTCAGGAAGAGGCCAGTCTCCTCTTCCGACATGTTAGGTCCTGTTAGGTTTGGTTTTTTCAAGCTGAGCTACCTATGTAGAGGCGCAGTATTGTAGGCATTCTCCTTCGCCTCTTTGGTCCCCCAAGGTGCGACCATTCCCTAGGCCGGGATCCCCACCCGAAAGTTCGGAAAGTAAGGCCCCGACCCACTTATAGCCACCACAAGGGTTCACGGCAAGAAGCCAAGAACTATTTCCATATTCCTGTTGCAGCAGTTTGTGGGTGAGCGCTAGGCCGAAACCTTCAAGCCCCAGACCCGAAACCCAAGCAACCGCAAACCTGAAACCTGAAACCAGAACCTCAGCCCAAAACACTTTAAGCCCTAAACCCCAAACCCATAAACCCCTAAAGCCGAAGCCCAAAACCCTAAACCCTAAACCCTAAACCCTTAAAGCCCAGAGCCCCACGAGAAATCTTTGCATGCAGGAGTCTGAGGCGCTAGCAGCCTCGACGGTTTTGTTGCAGGCGCCCACGGAAGTTTGGAATTTCGGGGTTCCCTAAACCGTAAACCCTGAACCGTTGCAACCCTGAGTCCTATAAACCCCCAGCCCTCAACTCTAAACCCTAAACCCCAAAAGCCCTAAACTCTAAAGCCTAAACCCTCTTCAACTCTTCAACCCTAAACTCCAAACCCTAAGCCATCAATTCTCAACGCTAGGGATTCTCAAAGACTTGGAGAGTTTAGGGTTTATGGGTTTAGGGTTTAGGGTTTAGGGTTACAGGGTTTAGGGCAGTTATTCAGCCTTTTTTGATTCTGGCTTGAGGAATGGATGAGGGTTTGGGGTTTATGGTTTAGGGGTAGGGTGTAGGGTTATAGAGATTCAGGGGTTTGTGGTTGAGGGATAGGGTTTATAGGGATAAAGTGGTTCGATGAATGGTCCTTAGTTGCGGAGTATGCACTTCATAAGAAGCCCGCAAGGGGGTTTTAGCGAAGCGTGCTTGTGTAGACTGTAGTGTCCATAAGGGAGCTCCAAAGCTGACTTTCTTAAAAGCATGTTTTCGGCTTCCAGCCACGACCCTAAACCCTAAACCCTAAACCCTAAACCCCTGTTCGGTTTCGGGTTTGGGTTGGGGATGAGGAGCTTGGTGTTTAGAGACGTGGTGTTTGGGGATTCACTGCATCAGGGTCTACTGGTCGAGTGTTCCTTCCTTGGGTTTAGGCATGTGGATAGCTGTCAAAATTATGGTCCCTTTTGGGGTACCCTAAATAATAGGTGCAGTATTATAATAAGGACCCAAAAAGGGACCATAATTTTGACAACCACCGATGTG